TTGGACTTGGCAATTTGACGGCACACAGTAACAGGAGACTACCTCATCTTTCGAGTAAAAACAATTAGTAGATTTGTTTACACGGAGCACAGACAAGAATTTGGGGATTTCTCAGACTACACTAGTCGAGTTTCAGGACCGGTTTGGGTACCCGTTTCTCAAACGTAGCTACAACATCAGGTTCCGCCCAGACGAGTAACTTTATAAATAAAGACAACAAATACAATGCCCTTAAGAATTGTTACCTTATGCATAACTATGAACGAAGTTGAAAGCACAGTCGTCCGGGCATCACGGGGTAAGCGCCTCGACGAAAAGACGGATTAGGATTGGTTTGAAAAAAACCTGCTTTAACGGTTAGCCCGAAGACAGGCGTCACGCTAGCTTGCCCTTTTTTCCGTTGTTTTTTATCCCTGTGGTGTTACAGAATTCGATTTGTTTTTTTAATTAATGATAAGGTCAATTAAATATTGATCTTTTGATATAAGGGTGGATCTCACTTCTAGTATAAGTTCTCTAAGATTGTACGTTGTCTTCATGATTGCAGCGACAGGTAGGATAGTCTCGTCCGTTCACAAGGGGAGGTTTTAGAACACCAAGTTTCTTTTCCAACCTCTTGCTTCTTTTTTTCCTTTTCCAGTAAGAATACTACCATAATTGACAATATCCACCAAGAATGTGTGGATAGGAAAGTTCTTATCAAACTTCTTATTTTGACTCTCAATGTCCTCAATTCAGAGTTTGCGAATGAATAGACTAACATGATTGGACTGGTAACGAATGATTTCATCGAGACACGTACCGTTCTTGTGTGGGGCGTAAATTACCTCGTTAAAAAAAAACGTAAGATATTTTAAACAGACGTCGTGGGAACGGTGGTAATCTAGTAAGAGTCATCGTAGTAAAACTCATGAATCGGAAGGGTTGAACGAGAGGGTGTCTAGACGTCTTGATCTGAGTGAGATTACCACGTCTCCGGCTAGTCAACCGCTCTTACTTGCCTTCATATCGTAAGATTTATGTCATTGGGGAACTTTTGTAGAATGATGGTCGATAAGCCACACCATTGTGTGTTAGTATCTAGATATTAGGTCAAGATCAGGATAAGTACAAGACAACCTTGTTTCTTCTGTCGAAGAAGAGTACCGGTTCAGTATTTTACAAAGTCCTTGTCGATAGTGGCTTCGACTACAGTCTACTATTCTGTTGTTAGTAGTCGACAGCACCAGACGTAGGTGTTGGTTCCGATTGTTTTACATTCACGATTACTGTAAGAGCAACATTTCGGTGATAATGTCGACGATTTCGGAACGTATGTACGACTTACGAGGTTTGTGAGTTCAGAATTTTACACAAATCGTCCTCACACTTCTGGATTTTTCATGAAATATTAGGACGTCCCAATCCCAGTCGGATCTAAGGTATGATGTAGTTGAAATGTTTTCGCAGTAACAGTGTTTCGAATTGACAGTCCATTTATTCTCCAAAACACCACTCACGACGTTTTGTGTTTTTGGAAACTTGTATGTTAGTTTCAAGTCAATGCCATATAGGTCGGGACGTTAGGTCCCTGACACAATAGTGACAGAACTCAGTAAAATACCGGGACACCTTAATCTATCGGTCACCGAGCTACGTACACACTTTTAGTACTACATTATTGAGAGGGTAAACCGTGTCTTCCTCGACAGTCTGGGTCGGCTTATCGATCGACGCTATTGCAAACCATAGCAAAAACCATCCGACGAGAGGTGTCACGTCGCTAATGAGGACAGGTCTGACCCTTATATACAGTGCTCACATGTACAGGACTTTCGGAAACGAGTTTACAGTGTACGCGTACGTACGGGATCTTGTACTACAGAAGATCTAATTGACATACAGAGTATCAATTTGCTAAACTAGAAAGCGAGAATCTTCAACCGTGTCAACTGGGGGGGTCGTCGAATACCATTACCGTAAAATGTCATTTTAGTCATTGTGTTAACTTACGTGACATGGCACACGAGACAGAGACAACGACGGTAAACCAAGGGCGTTACACCTCTCCCTGACAGAAATCTTTCTTTTACGTCAAGTCGAAAGCTACCGTTGGACCTAGAACAGACAGCAGACTTGTCAAAATCGTAGAATTAGTTGTATAAAGGTGGTTAACTGTTATGAGCTCTAGCAGCCCCTATACCACTGTTGTCAGCTTACGTCTCACCACTTTCGTTATGTCTACCCGTCAAATGGCATCGATATAGATCTTGTTGCGGGAATTAAACCCTCCATATGCTGTAGTGTCTTACAACAGTGGGGGGTGTTTATTTACGGTTGATTTAGCTATACAAAGTCTAACTAATTGAAATAAAAGTGACACAACAGTTTGTTGCAGCAAACCCGTAAGAACTAGTTAGAATCCTATATAAAGATAATAGAGCCCGACGTGTACCGCTTGTTCCGTAAATTTACTCGTGTAAAAAGAAAACGGTCGAGATGGAGGACACAGGACGTGTGGGAAGGTGGTAATCTTATTAAAGTCATCTAGTAGAAAGGACTCAGTGAATCGGAAGGTGAACGAGAGGGGTCTAACGTCTTGATCTTGAGTGAGATTAGCACGTCGTCGGCTAGTCAGGAACCGCTTACTCTCATACTTAGATGTATTGGTCATGGGAACTTTTTGAGAATGACTGGTCATAACCACACATTGGGTGCGTTAGTATCTGAATGATATGGGTCAGACTCAGATAATAGCAAACAGACCTGTCTTCGTGTCGCGGAAGAGAGTGACCGGTTCAGGTATTTTACTACAGTCCGTTGTCGATAGTGGGTTTCTCGACTACTATTACTATCTCGTTTGAGTGGTCGACAGACAGGAGAGGTTGTGGTCCGTTTTTACCATTGACCGATTACTGTAAAGCAAAGGTTTCGGTGATAATGTCATGATATTCGGGAACTATACGACGTTACGAGTTGTGAGTGCAGAATTTTAGCACAAAATCGTCCTCACACGTTCTGACTTTTGCATGAAATATAGGACGTCCTAATCCCAGTCCCGATCTAGGTATGATGTAAGTTGAAAATGTTTCGCGAGTAACAGTTGTTCAACTTACAGTCCATTTTATTTGCTCCAAAAAGACACCACACGCGCTTTGTGGTTTTTGGAAACTTGTAGTTTAGTTTTCGACAGTCGAAGTCATAGTACTACGTCGACGTTAGGTCCCTGACCACATAGTGAAAGAACCTCAGTAAATACCGGACACCTCTAATCTATCGGTACGACTAGTAGCACCACTTTTTAGTACACGACATTAGAGGTATAACATTCTTCCTCGACAGTGTGGTCGAACTTATGGATCGACCTATGAAACCATACAAAACCATCCGACGAGGAGTGTCACTGTCTAATGAGCGGACAAGTCTGCATCCCTTATATACTAGCGTCTACAATTACGAGGACTTCGAACCGAGTTTTACAGTTACCTACGTACGGATCTTGTACTAAGGAAGATCTATGCATACAGAGTCATCAATTGGCTAAACTCAGAAAGAGAATCAACCTGTCAGTACTGTCGAAACCATACCGAAAAATGTCATCTTTATAGTTGGTGTTAACTTACCGTGAATTGCGCAAAGACAGAGACAATCAGACGTCAAGACAAGGGTTACTAGGCGTGCCGTGGGGACAGATAAATTTTCTTTTAACGTAAGCAAAGTACCGTTGGACCTAGAACCAGACAAACTTGTAAAATCGTTAGAATTCACGTTTGTATAAAGGGGTTAAGTTATACTCGTAGACCCGCATACCACTGTTTCAGCTTACGTTCACACCTTGTTAGTCTACCGTCCAAAGGATCCGATTAGATTGGTGGAATTAAACCCCTCCATATTGTATGTTTCAACAAGAGTGTTATTACGTTTGATGTAGTATACAAAGCTTAACTAATTGAAATAAAAGTGACACAACCATTTTGCAAAACCCGTCACGAGAACAGTACATATCCTATAAAATAAGATAGACACTTTACCTCTTGTGTCGTAAATTACTCGTTAAAAAAAGCGTAAGATATTGTAAACAGACTGTGGAAGGTGCGTAACTTATTGAGAAGTCATCTGATAAGGAACTCATGATCGGAAGTGAATCGGAGCAGGTGACGTCTAGACGGTCTTGAATCTGAGTGAGATCTTACACCGTCCTTCCGGCTAGTCAGTGAACGGCTTTACTGCTCATTTATCTAGACGATGTATGTCATTGGGGAACTTTTGTAGAATGATGTCCATAACTACGACATTGGTGTTAGTATTCTAGATATATGGTCAGGATCAGATAATACGAAACAACCTGTTCTTCTGTCGAAGAGAGTCCGGGTTTTCATATTACACAGTCCTATGGCGATAGTGCGTTCGACTACTATTACTTATCTGTTTAGTAGGTCGACAACCAGACGTAGTTTGGTTCCGATTTTTTACCATTACGAATTACCTGTAAAGCAAAGTTTCGGTCGATAATGTCATGAGTTTCGGGAACGTATACGACTTACGGAGTTTGTGAGTTGCAGGAATTTTATCACAACATTCGTCTCTCAACGGCTTCTGGATTTTTCATTGAAATATAGAGACGTCTAATCCCAGGTCGATCTTAGTATGATGTAAGTTGAAATGTGTCGCATAGTAACAGTTTGTTGCCAATTACCAGTCCATTTTAGTCGGCGCAAACACCCACGACTTTGCTGTTTGGGAAAACTGTTGTTTAGTTTCAAGTCAAATGTCATATAGTCGGACGTTAGGTCCCTGACCACATACGTGAAAGAGACTCCCAGAAATACCGGGACACCTTAATCATTCGTAAGCGACTTATACACACGCTTGTAAGAAGACGAAGTAAGCTAGGTAGCCAATATAAGGCTTAGCAGTACAGATACATGTGGGCTCACTATTTGGCAAGCAACCGGTCACAGTTGCCCTGTTTATCTCATGTCTTATAAAAGCTTATTAATGATTTATAAAGTGTTCACAACCTAATTAATCAATGAATTACAAACTATTCGTAAACCCTTTTATAAGGGTAGTCTTACTTTAAAGTGGTACCCAAAAACCTTTATAACACACTACAGCAAAGGGAAAACCCCCAAAAGTATATTAGGGCCCCTTTTTAAACTAGCATTACTGAGCAACAGCTGAAAGTAGAGGTGTTGCCTAAATTCTCCTTTTCATGTTTTTTTAACTGTTAAACATGAACACTGACCTTTTACAGGAAAGAAAATCTGCCCTGCCCCCATGAAGCACACTTTGTCTTGTTTGCCATTTTGGCTGTGCCTTAATTAACTGTAGGATTGTCTTCCTGCAGTCATGACTACTCCTTTATAGTCAGTGGTTCAGAGGATAAGTACGTGTACATCTGGAGCACTTACCACGACTTGAGCAAATTCACTTCTGTACGACGGGACCGCAATGACTTCTGGGAAGGAATTAAAGGTAACTATGTTTTATGTTAAGCTTGATTTTAATTCAACTACCTGTCTAACTTATTGTTCCCTCTTGATTGAACCGACACTAAACCTTGACTTATCTTTCAGCACACAATGCAGTGGTCACCTCAGCAGTTTTTGCACCCCACCCAGGCCTTATTGTTCCACCTGAACCTGGAGCAGACAAACCAGAAGCAGAGTGTAAGAGCCTGGACTCCACTGACTCTGAAACCATACCCTCAGGTACGTTTCCCTTTACTATTTACGGGCAGATTTCACAACATCAAGACATTTCGGTACTTTAAATTGAGTGTCGTCCTTTGTAGGAGCCCTAAAGACGGATCACACAGAGGTTCTACTTTCTGCTGACTTCACTGGAGCCATCAAGGTTTTCATCAATGTAAAAAAGTACTGAGCATTGCAGAGGCTGTCAGCTCCTCACACTCAGGCAGACTGCAGGAGATCGCTCCTGAAGACGAAGGAGAGTCTGTCGTCACCCACTACCTAGCGGCTATCGCTCTGTGACAAAGAGCCGTCTGTAGCCTTCTTTCGGGAAAACATGGACCCTAAAATAGAAGGGAATAGATGGAGGAAATAGACTGTACAATACAGAGGAGGTGTGAATCCCGGTCACGTTTCTATTTTTTATCTTGAATACCAAGCAACTGTGAACGGTTCTGCGCTAAGGGAAAAAAGAGCCAAGCGTGTGTGTTGTCTGTTCAGAAACATACGTGTTCATTTGCAGCTGTGTGGTCCGGATGGAGTATGGCAAGATTAGGTTATTTTGTAACAGTATGGGCACCTCACTCATTTCTTTTGCTCCCACGTTTTAGAAAAGCTAAGTCCTAATGTCAGTCACACATTTACGTGTCTTAAAGAGATGTAACCGTTTGTCTGAAGCAAGGTGGTTTGAAATGATTTGTGCCTAAATCTAGATCACTTTTCTAAATTAAACTTCTAAAATCTTATTTCTGTAATTTATCGAACATTTTAGCAGATGACAGCAAATCTACGGTACATGAAATCAGTATATGGTTATTATTGATTTGGGCTGGGTATCTTTAAAAATGGTCTAGAACAATATTGGCTCTTAAGACGTTTTGATATTATTTTTTTTCAATGAAAGCACATGTCATTATTAATGTTACTGTAAATTCAGTGTGTAACATTTCATACTTGCTGCTTTTGTAAACAACCAAATAATGCTCTATTCATTTACTCAATAAAAGTCCACACAAAGTAAAGGAATGCGTGTTGACGACATTTTTTGACATTAAAAAATGACCAGTAAAAGTAGTTTTGAAATCCAGGCCCTACAAATCATCTCCTCCACACACACACGTTATATCAACATCCGTGATTTATTTAGTGTCAGAACTCTGCAGCAACATTTCAGCTTATCATTTTAAAAACAAACATTAAAACAAAAATATATATAATTAGTTACAGTGTTCAAACTTCATCATACAAAAAAAAGAGTGCAGAGTCTTGCATGGAGAGTGAGTTGGGACCAAAAGAGCGGACATGTTCGTCTGTTTTTAAAGAGCGCTGTGTAACCCATGGATACCAGCAGGGTAATGGATGACCAGAGCTGAGAGTCAGTGTTTGCTCTTCTTTGCTTTCTTATGGGAGCGATGTGGCGACCGCGACCTGGTCTTCCGGTCTGGAGATGGTGATCGGGAACGCTTGGACCATTTGGGAGACCTTGTCCTGTTTAAAAAGGATTGAAAGTTAACAGACAGACAGAAAGACGTTATGGATGAATGCATCCCACAAATAAATCTCTTGGCACTTGCTTTAAAGGAGAGATGCTCCTCGACTTTCGGGCGTGGTCGTCTGGATCTCGACTCCTTCCTCGTCTCCTGACGCCCTCTACACTTCGTTTGCTCCGATCTCTGTCCCTCCTGTCATCCTTCGACCTGTCTTTGGGCTTTGATGTCAGTCTCTCGTTTTTGTCTTCATCTTTTTCAAACTCCTATAGTAGACACGGTGAAACATCCCAATGAAGTCAGATAAAAGGCTTTTATTGTTTTTGTCTGTTAAGATGCAAAATACGACACAACTGGCTTGTAATTCGCCAATCAATTACTAATTCAACTAAAACATAGTGCAGGTTCTCCACAAGGGGGAGCTGTTTAGTTTGTGCGACCCATTTAACACATGCTCACCTACAGAAAAGAAAGATATCAGCATTAACACTTACAGGCTGGGTAACACTTTTTTTGACACAAACAAAACAATAATTCAAGCAGTGTAACTGAAATACTACAACCACAAAAGTATTTGTATATCAAATACTCACCCTGGGTTAACTATAATTCATTAAAAAAAATAATCACAAAAAATGTAGAAAATTATTTTGAATTGAGGGAAATGGTGGGCTTATTTAAAAGAAAAGATGTTTCCAAGAGTTTTAACTGGAAATGTGTGAGCGGCGGAAATGCATGTGTTTTGTAAGTAGTGAGCATTCTTCTGGGAGATGAAACTTTTTGAAGATGTTTGTTGATTAAGTTTTGCTGTTGATCAAAGCCCCAATTTACCTTTTTTCATGAATAATTTTCTGTATTTTTGGGTACATGCAATGATATAAACGTTCTTCAAAGTACCACAGGGTTAGTGATTGAAAATGGGTTTCTTGTGGGTAAAATATTCTGAAAATACTCAAAAGAATCGGTTTATAGTAAAAAAACAAACTTGGAAAACACATTAGGACACAAACAGCAGCTGAAGCTAGACGCTCCCTCTCAGTTGGTGCAGATCTAAAATGGCTTGCTACCTGGCTTTGCAGTTTCACTTTGGGCGTGTCTGTAACACTGTTTTTTTTACCGTGCCAACTGACTAATTTCACAGTCTAATTTTAATGTACTAATAGCAAGCACTTTTGTAAATGTTGCCCCATGCTATTCTTGATTAAAGAAATGTTTCTATTACACGTCAGTCATGGTTTTTATTTTTGCTTAAGAGACTATTAAATGAAGCTCAGCGCAAGTTCTTTCAGGAAGACTGGTTCCCACGCTCTCCCTCACTCACTCGCCCCTTTTCTCAATAAAGCAAAGGCGCAACTTACCTCAGCTAAACCAATCGGCTGCGTCTTATTCCCAACAGCCAATCACAGCACACCTGGCAAAACATTTAAATCTGCTTTTTCTCTCCCCTGACAGCATCGTTCAGGAGAATTGATGCAACCCTCCTCCACCTCCAGTTTTTCAGATCCAAGGCAGGATAGCCCAGAAGAACCCTCATCACTCCGGATTTTCTATTTTCCCTTAGTATTCACCACCACCAGTGTCTAGACCCTGGGGGGTTTCTCTTTCTAGTCGGCTTCTCCTCCCCCTTAATTCATCACAGTATGATGGGGTCTAATCTCCAAAACGCTATTGTGCATACGGCAATACAAATGTTAACTACAAACTAAGTGTCTCCAGATTGAACTGAAGAGTAGAGTTCACCTTCTGAAGCAGTTTGTTCCTGTAGTGCTCCACCTGCTGCTGTATGCTCATTCCCGACTTCCTCGGCCTCTTTCCACACTCGAGCTCATCTTGGATCTTCATTACCTTCACCTGTGGCAAGACACATCCAATCAGTTCTGTATATTTATTTACCATCATTTGACATATTGTCACACGGTTGAAGATGCTACTGTAGGGAGGCAAACAACTATGGAGTCAAATGCAGACTGTAAAGCTATTTGACTTTTTATATAAATAAGTAATGATAAATAATAATCATAAGAAAGATGACATGCTCATTTTCAGGATGGTATTTGTATTGTTCGCCTCTACTGTGGCAAAAAGCCTCTTTAATAGAGTCTTCTTTTCAAAATTAAACATTTCGGACAGGATATGTTTGTAACATGGCATAAAGTGTGACCTAGAGGAAGTGGGGGGGGGAATGGGTCTAACAACAGGAAATGATTAAAGAGGACAAATACATTTTTTAAACAAACGCTAATACTGTATTCCTCTCCCTTTTAAAATCAAGTTTTCATGAATGTGGACTTGCCTCCAGCTCTCTCAACCGTTTCCTTTTGCTCTCGGACATTTGAAAACTTTTGAGGGAGCTCTGGAAATCTGCATTGTCATATTTGGACGAACCGCCGCCGTCATCGCTGCTGTCGCTCTCAGAGTCGTCATCACCATCCTGCGAGTTGGCACTGTCACCAGGAGGGGAGGGAGAATTATTCATTTTTAAACCGGGTTTGTGTAATTACCTCTCGTAGATGTAGCCAGATGCAACGATGCGAACCACAGGAACCTTACCTTACTTTCATCACTTCATTCGCACTGGTTTTCTCCACCACCATGTCCCACTTGGAGCCAAGCATGACTGAGAAAGAAAGGAGTAAAGTGAGCAGGAACACAGAGGGAAGGATTGATATGATAAGCATATATTGACCTGTGTTACCTTGGGAAAACGTCCCGGAGTCAACCGTCTTCTCCCATTTCGACAAAGGCACGCCGGAGAGGGGAACACTGCCCTCCTCCACTGAGGAAAACAAGAGACAGCTGGGTCAGGACAGCTATTTCATGAAGTTGATGACTTTATAATTCCCTGTTGGAAAATCCTGTGCTTGCATCCCACTGCAGCTACAGACAACAAGCCATGGATTGATCGTGTATTGATCTTAAGACACTTGAGAGGTCATTGATAACGGGAACAGGAGACGGTGGACTTCTGGTTAAGAGACGTGCTTTTCATTTGCGGTGGACTCACATGGCATGCCATCAATGTCGTCAATGGCAACTCCCAAGGGGACACCGTCAATGTCGTCAACAGGGACCCCGTCAAGAGGGTCCCAGCCTAAGGGGCAGCCGTCGAGGTCATCCTCAGGCGCTCTGAGAGGCAACCCGTCTATGAGCGCGCTGTCCAATGGCGCGCCATCGAGGTAAGAGGATACTTCCTGCGAGGAGACAGATAAGTGCACATCAGAGCTGCAACTAACGATTACTTTCAGAATAGATTCATCTGCCAATTATTGTGTTGACTAATCACTGAGTGTAGAAAACGGGATCAATGAGTAGATAAATATTCAGCTCACCTCCACCACTGGCTCCATCGTCTCCTCTACAGCTTTGGCGAAGCCCAGAAAGATGTTTTGAAGGTGGATTAGAAACGGCTCGGGGTATATGGTCCAGTCCTCCCATGCTCTAAAACAACACGAGACCTTTTGCTGCGGGGATAAGGAGGAAAAGGGTTTTTATGTTGTTCTGTTTTAAGTTTAAATGCGAGGCAAATGAAACACGTGATTACCTTAAACTGCTCTGCCTGCAGTCTGGCTTGTATGTTTTTATGCGCTGCATTAAGGTCTCCAAATATTTGTGTAAGCTTTGTTTCAAAACTGAAAAAAAAACAGAGGCAGAGATACGTTAGACGGTCACATGAAGAAAAAATACAAAATAAAACAAGTGTTAAAGCTGATTTAGGGTAAACATCTCTTACTATTTACGATAATATGATGCACCGGGCACTTTGGCACATGAGTTGTGCAAGATGTCTGACACTAGATATAGTCTGGCAATCTGTGGGAATGAGGATGAGGGAAAACTGATGTGAGTGACACACTTTACTAACACATTCAGTGACATTTCGATCACACAAGGGGAGGCAAACTAGCCTTCTTCTGAGGGGGCGTCTGAAGCAAGGAGAAAGACTGAGTGATGTGTCCCACGACTTCCTCTGCTGCGTCTGCCCTCTGAAGACAGAACTGCATGGCGTTGGCGATATCTTCTCTGTTGGGAGTGAGCGCTTTTAGCAAAGTCTCCAACCTCTGCCTGTGCCTGAATCGTAAAGAATAACAAAGGATTACATTCAATTCAACTTAAGTCATGTACGGATGGAGATGTCATTATGCCTCCACTTACTCTGCTCTGAGCTGCCCTTTCTTCACCTCTTCCTCAGGGGGAGCTTCCTCCTCTGCCTCGGCACTATCTTCACCGGTCTGAGAGTAGTTGTTCAGGATAGGGGGTCTCCACATGGAGCCCCCCCGAAACATACGAAAATCTGCAGTCCTCCATTCTGTCGGGGTCTGTCCCTGTGGAGAAGAGAAAGGTCAGAAACATAGAAACTCATATACAAATACAGCCACATTTCCTTTTCATGGACTTGTGTTTCAAATCAGAATAGCTATTTCCCATAAAATGAGATTACCATTTAAATGATTGAACCGTTTGAAGTTCTCCCAGATAAATCTTTTAGAAACAAGGCTAAGGAGTACAAAGACATACCTGGAGGATGGAGAATAGTTTCCAGCGATAGTACACATGATTCTGGCTTTTGTTTTCAAAAAGGAACCTGAGAAAATAAAAAAACAGCAAATTAAGATTATACCCTTTAAGATAACATTTTAGACCAAGTGCAGCAAAGCACTCACCTGTAGTCTGGATTGTTTTTCTCTTTGTTCATGATAACAGCTTCAAACACAGGGCCTTCACGCACCACAAACTCTATCATCCTGTGAATGAGGAATAATAGATTCCTGTGGGGGAAATAAGAGGGCATCAGACCGGGGAGTGCACTCAGTTAAAACCTGAAATCTCCTCTCTACACTCAAACAGTGTCGTTTGAAGTCATAGCATTCACTATTTTACAAGACGACAGCCTGTGGGACATTCAGCTGTAGAACATGGTTCATATTGTTTATAGTTATATTTCAAGGTGATAACGCAATCATTTTTTACTAGACATCTAGAGGACTACAAAAACATATGAGACATATGAGTCACAATCAACATTTTAATATTATTTTACCTTGATTGTTGAGAGGATTCCTACAAAATCACATTGCAATTTTGTGGCCATTTTTTATATTCAGTATTTAATAAAACTGTCTCAACTTCAAAATTCATACACGGTTGCCGTTTAGTTGGACGTAGGATATTTTCTTGAGATGCAAGGGTCTCAAAATGTATACTATTCAGGATCAGGGTGAAAACATTCCTGGCTGCAGTTATGAAAAAAAAAAGTTACTGTGTTGGTGCTTTAAGCCTGAGAGTATGTTCATGCTGTGTTACCTGATTATTTGTAACATTGCAATTAAGTCTTCTTATTATTCAGTACTATACAGTATCTTAAATCAGAACTTTGTTTGATTTATGGCACTAGCATGAATCTGCATTGTGAGTTAACATTACATCTATCTGCCTTCTAGCTGTATCCGTCTGCAGTGTCTCAGCCTACCAATGGGAAAGCCAGGGATCAAAGTTGTTCGTAAGCTAAAAGACATCAACACTATGACTGGAACAACATGAATAATCGGAGGTAATTGAGCACTAGGCTAAAAGAGAAAATGAAGTGGCTATAAAAACATACTAAGTGCATTTACTGTAGGTAAATCTGAGGCCATGGGGACCTTTGGCTTCAACAACAAAAGCCCTCAAGTCTTAGTTGCGGATTTCAAAATGTCCACTGATGTTTCGCTATGCAACAAGACCTGGGGTTGTTAACCATGTTCTATCGTGAGATTTTCTTTACAGCGCTTAGGACTGGAACTTCCTTCCTGACACAATCTGTAAGGGTCCTGTAACACTGTGTTAGAACAGCTGATCGGTCGTAGAAAGAAGAGTGTCTGTACCTTTCTGTCGGGATAACCACTTTGACTACGGCTTCGGACAGAGTCTGTTTGTGAAGTCAAACGGTGAAAATATTAAAAAGTGAGTACTTGTACAGATGAAACACTGCAGGATACATACAGCATAGAAAACGACGATAGCATTCATAGTCGGTGAAATGTCTGTGAAAATGTAAGCTGATTTCTCTCACAGTCAAACAGATTAATTTGAATTAGGGCTTTTCTATACACCTGCATCGTGTGATATGGCACTTCTCGGACAGTGTGATTAACTAGATGAATAAACAAACATGCAACTTCAAAATTGTTCCCAACTTTTAATAATTAATGATGAGAAGTTACAGATTAGTTTCCAAGACATTGAGAAATGACACTGAATGATAAAGCAGGGCAGTTGTAAAAGCTTGTATTTTAATGTAGTATTAAAGATGGAGTCTGTGATTCTAATCAATTAGCTTAGTGACATTTACAAGAAACATGACTTAAATATGAGCGCCTGTACTTCTTAGTGAAACACACATTACTGAAATAAAACATGCAGACACCCAGGAGAACAAAGAGATGTTTACCTTGTCCATCTCTCCTTTGGACATGCCCAGCGGCTTGGTGAAGTCGTTGCGGAAGCGGTCCCTCGGCTGAGCGTTGAAAGGCAGACCAGATGGGGGGGGCGGCGTGGCCCTCACCCCCACCGGTGTGTAGAGAGGCTGAGGTGGAATACGAGCTGGTTTACCCCATCCCAGCTTCATTTCAAACCCCATAATGACTTTACCTACAAATCAAAACATAATCAGTCGGAGTGGAACAGGACGACATGATAAAAGCTACGGGGGAAAGGTTATTATCTGCCAGTAGAGCCTGTAAATCAAACCTATTTTTACCATCGAGTGAAGCCAAGGCTCTCTCTGCATCTTTGCGGGTCATGTAAGCCACGAAGGCTCTGTTGGAGGTCCGGCAGCGCTCCTCGTCTGTTCGGGGCCACATTATCTTCACACTGGCCAGAGGACCATACTTACCGAACTCTTTGCAGAGAATCTCCTCGTTCATCTGAAAGAACAGAACAATGTAATGGTGGGTAAAGTAAATGTATCAATGCTGAACCAATCAAAGTCAGTGCGCTACTTTACCTTTGGGCTAATGCAGCCGATGTAGAGGTTAGTGGTGGTTGGCACTGTTAGGTCATCATATAATACTGTCGGGAAAAAGCTGAGGTTAGCATGTTTGCAGTTCATTTTTTTCCACTTATAAAACTCTTGTATTTTAAGAGAAGGCTCTTCTTACCCGATCGTCCAGATAATGGTATATCCAGATTTCCTCCACATCCTCCTCCTCCTCCCCCATCAGGGTCATTGGTCTTCTTTTTATGTCTCTCCTCACGCTCTTCTTGAATTCTGCATTTTTTCAAATAAGTTTAGGTATGCCAGAAATGTATCAACTTATCGGAAAAACCTTTGAAAAAGACTTACAGTTTAAGCTCTTCTTTGAAGAGTTCAAGATTACTCTTCTTCTTTTCTTCTGACTTTCTCTTTTGTGTCTGTTAATCAAAAAAGGAAGCCACTGTGATTATCATATCACAACTGACTGCTTCAAAGTTTGAGGTGTTGAGATAATGTAAAAAGTAAGTTTACATCCATACTTAATTCAGTAAATGATTCTATAACATGAACATCAATGCAACAACTTACAGCTTTTTTGCTCTCAGCGGATGATACATGCTGGGGAAAGGGGACAAAATTCGAAGCAGGTCGATAAAGCTCACTTTTCTTGACCTCGGTTGCCTTCTCCTCTGCAAAAATAAAACAAAGCAATCTCTGAACATGGACTCTCCAACAAGTGTGCAAACTATAATTCATTCAATTGTGTTGGTCAGCAGGATATCAGAGAAGCTTCCTGTATCATTAGGACAGATTGGACTTGAATACTTGAAACTAGTGATTGAGACCATAAACTCGCAAGGTTTTACTGAGCTAATCAAGTTAGATGTCTGGTCATTTTTTGTAAACTTCTAAACAATCAGACATGTTTTAAAAGGTCCCATGTCATGCTTTTCTGGTTATTACCCGTCCCCTTCTGTGTTATGAAGGTTTTTCTGCATGTAAACGGTCTGCAGAGTTAAAAACCCTCAAAGTACACCCTGTAGCGAGTAAAACTCTAACACAGAAAAGACCTTTCGCTGACCCAGAACGCCTCGTTGGAGATTTCTCTTTTTCCATTGTTTCCTTCCTGGGTACAGTGACGTGCCCATGCCCAAATGGACCCATTGGATCAATCCGTGGAGCTCCTCACACACACACTCTCTCAGCGGCAAAAACTGTGACGCGCTGTGGGGGGGGGGTGCTGGTGGAGCCTTGCAGCGGCAAAACTGTGGCGCGCTTACACTGTAGGTGTGCCGCGTTTGGGGGTGTGCGGGTGCTAGTGGAGCCTCGCAGATGGGGGTGCTGCAGCCCCCTCAGCATCCCCCCCTTCCCGAGTCCATTCAGGATGTCTCGCTGTCTCGCAGACCCCACGCAGCAAGCAGGAAATGAACCCAGCTCACACTGTCCGCTCCTCGCAGCAGCGAGCCGCGCGACGTTGTGTCATTTTCTGGTTGCTATAGCCATTGTAACACATAATCACTGATGTTCCACTGTAACAGTGGTAGACCATAGTGGTAGACTCATCAGAACTTTGGTGTGTGGGTATTTAGGCTCTGTCAAACTGACCAATCAGAGCACAGTGGGCTCACAGGGAGGGGGGGTCAGAAATGGCCATGACATGGGACCTTTAAAGAAAGCTAAACTACACAACACCACCTTAAGTTGGACAAGTTAACTTTTTCTGGATGTAGGGATGTATACAAACAGTTTAGACATCTGTAACCATTACAAAGCAAGCACACAGTAGTATAATTGTTTTGCATGCATTTTGTCTGACGCATATGTACGTCAATACATTATTTAAAGCATTATTTCCTTTTAGATTATTATTAAATGCGATCCATGAACTAAGAACGATAAACATGCTTAACTTTGAAATTCACAATTATTGAAATGTATCTATATTATGACGTGATTTTTTTAATTAATAACCAGTGTTCTTTTTTATCACCAGGAAAGTGTTAACAGCCCTGGGACTGTGGGAAAACACATGGCTTTGAAGTGCTTTACACTCAATGATCTACTACTGATCCTGAAAACCTTCAAACAAAGGAGCCATGTAGAAAGGTGTCTGATGGAAAAGTAACCTGTCCTTGGTGAACCCGTTTCCTGAGCGAACGAACCACAGCACTGTGTTTAAGGAGTGGAGGTGACCATGATCTCCATGGCTCTCCGCTCGCTCGTTCTGGTGGCTTTCATCATTCTGACCGTCGGTGGGAACATGCTGGTGTGTTTGGCTGTGGGACTCAGCCGTCGACTGTGGCGCATCGCTAACTGCTTCGTTGTGTCCCTGGCGGTGACGGATCTGATGCTAGGCCTGCTGGTGTTGCCCTTTTCTGCCAGCGTGGAGTTGCGCAGCGGAAAATGGCCCCTCGGAGGAGCCCTGTGTAACATCTACATCTCTCTGGATGTGCTGCTCTGTGCATCCTCAATCCTCACCTTGATGGCCATCAGTGTGGACCGATACTTAGGCATTACAGCTCCCCTTAGCTACTCCCGGAGAGTTACCCGTCTGAGGGTGACACTGGCCTTGATCACCATCTGGGCTTTGTCACTAGCAGTGTCCTTTGTGCCCATCCACCTGGGCTTGAACACAGCAGACTACAGAGTGCAGCACTCGGACTGGGGCATGGGGGAGGACAAAGAGGGACACTACTGCCAGTTTGAATGGAATAACAACTACGTTCTCGTTTATACCTTTGGCACATTTTACCTGCCTCTGCTGCTTATGTGCGGAATGTATCTTTGCATATTCAGAGTGGCACGAGAACAGGTCAGTGTTTTTTTTTTTATTCTGTAAAACATGCACAGGCGCAATGTAAAAGGTCACTTTTTGTATCCGTCTAAGGAAATCGATACAAAATATGATTTTCTTTTAGTGAATGTCATTTTAGTGGAAAGGACATATAAAAGAATAGCATTCAGTCACATTCACTTGTTGATGATGGAACTTCTTTCATTTTCTGTGTCTCTAACCTTTGCTTTACGGCTCTTTTCAGGTGAAGCGAATTCGTGCTGCCACTCCGTCGTTTGCACGCTCAGCATCAAATGCAGCCATAGCTCGGGAGCACAAAGCTACAGTGACATTGGTAGCTGTTCTGGGGGGTTTTGTCATCTGCTGGTTCCCCTACTTCACCTTATTCACCTGCATGGGCATAAAGGAAAATACAAACCCCCCTAATACACTTAACTCTGTGGTCCTGTGGCTGGGCTATTTTAACTCGGCTCTTAACCCAATCCTGTATCCAGCCTTCAACAGGGATTTCCGCAAGGCCTACGCAGAGCTGCTTCGCTGCAGAGGGTCGTTTCGCAGAAAACTGCAGCTCACTCGTGTGTCAATTCATAAACGATTGACCTTTACTAATGGACAAATGGTCTCCCAACAGTCTGAGAAACATAAAAACACGGATAATAATGTAACTGACACAAAGACCGTCAGTCCACAGGAGAGAAATGGTATCCCGAGTGAGCCAAGCTAAATTGCTATGGACCTGTTGTTGTTCTGCTGGACTGTAAACCTGCAGCAAGATGTTGTAAATGAACATGCTAACTATCACTTAGATGTTACGCATTGTGCCAAAGATAATATGTACACCTCAAAACACAACATTCAAGGTTTCAGCACAGCATTTGTGTTAATGTACCGGGTATTGATAACACTTTCTTTGGCACCAATGTGGAAAATTCATTATGAAAATACAAAAACAGGGTCTTAACCTGATGATGGCACCTTATTACACATTGTTTTAATCATTTCTAATGATAAATGCAATGGCAATTTAGAGTTAGAATCACAATGCAGTGCATTACATCAGATTATAATGTATTATAAGACAATCATAATGTATTAAAACTAAAGGAAATTTTAAACACAATCAGTCAGCGTGTGACAATGAAGGTTAATGCTTTTAAGCATTATATAGTAAAATATATTACTAAAATATGCTCAGCAATTTGTTGTGATTACTATAAAGTATCATTAATAAATGTATACAGTGCTATAAGCATATTTTGATGGATTACAATAATAATAGCAATATAATACATTTCATTTATAGTGTGCTTTTCAAGATACTCAAAGACACTTTTACGGGGTAAACATATTGAGTATGTTTATAATGCATTATAGAAATGGGCACCATAGAAAGTGTTACCAAAGTATTATAATGTACAGTACTGAATTGTCTGTTTATAAGGCAGGTGTAAAAAGCAAAGAAAAATGTAATTCAAAATAAAGGGCAGACAGACGGCAGAGTGGAATAAATAGATGACTCAGTAAGTTTCCCAGTTATTTTCCTGGAGACACAGATGGTTACAAAGTGTTTATTTTCTCTCCCGTCAGCCCTGCCAATTAAAGTGAATAAGTGACCAGCAAGTTGATTTTTTATGTGCAAAATGTGTATATGTTTGACTTGACCTCGGCACGGTGACCTTTATGACTTCCTGTATGTTTTTACAGATGAATTGCTACTGGACAGAACAGCTGCCCCCAACAAGTCACGCTTGGACGGACACTATATCATTTTTCATTAAATACAATAAAATCTACATCCATGAAAAGATTGCTTGGATATATACTTTATATCCTTTTGGGGATTATTCTCATGTAAAGACAGCAAAGGTTAAAATAATGTGACAATAAAACGCCGCCTCACACCTTTTTTTGATTGCATAGAATGTATATAAGACATCTTGTTGGTTTTTTTGTATGAAGCTAAGTACAACTGAATGCAAAATATCGCATTTCTAGGCGTGAATAAAATGTGCACTTAACTTTCATGTACTGAAAGCAAAAGTAAATAATTAAAGTTGTAAAATTAAAAGACTGAAAACCAAAAGAAAAACATGGAAGCAAACTCAATCACAAGCCACGCCCTAAAGCACCTAACCTGCTTTATCGTATATTTTACTCCCAATGGGACCAACATTTACAAAATGAGCATCATAATGTATTTAAGTGGACTTGAAACTAGTGATTATGATCATAAACTCATTAGGGATATGTTTAAAATGTAATAAAGTTAGAACAAGGGTCATTTTTGTCATAGACTTCTAGAGAATCTGCATTCTATTTGCAACCAGTGGAGTCACCCCCTGCTGGCTATTAAAACAATGTCAGTGGAAGGCCATTTTATCGGTTGCTGTTTTGAGTGGTATGAGATGAGGATAAGAACAGAAAATTAGGAATGTAAATGTAGTCTTCTTGACAAACTTTAACACGGAAAGATGGAAAAAAAGCACACTAATAAATTTTTACGGCTTTTATTTCCTTTTAAAATGTAAATTGTAACTAAATATTTTTGTAATGCAAAGGCAGAATAGTACCTTTTTTATTTTTTTAAGTATATTTTTCCTAAAGATGTTATTTATCTTTCCAAACCCATCTCATCCAATTTTAACAAACCATTCTACATCGATAAGAATTTCCCCATTGAAACCCACGTTTGCACATTGGCTATCAATGCTTTGTAGACACTGCTGTTTAATGCATTTTGATATTTGTTTTGGCTTCATTTAGTCTGTGTCATGATTGGAAAAAGAGTATGCAGATGGAAATGGTTTTCAAGAACTGCCAGCAACAAGGCGAGCATAGCGTGATTCAAATTAAAGTTTAATGTGAGCCCTGGTGCTGTCGATGCTAGTTGAAGTAGGTTGATAGGTTGAAGCAGGGGAAAGGAAAATAAAATCCATTTGGGATGAATAAAGGTCTTGCCTTAACCTTGCAGGAGGGGGGGTGCTGCCAAGGAGGCGACATTAGATTGCACTTCACGACTGTAAGGATAGAAACTAGAAAGCGATCAAGGCGGCAGCTGCACAGTGACACATAAAGTGGAAGTCATTGAAATTATTGATTCTTATTTGGGTCAAGTGGCAGGAAGTAAACAGCGAAAATGGAAGTGCAAGATCAGTTATATGAAGCATTCATATAGCTAAGGATGATAACATTGTAATACTGTCACTCCTACACAGTATAGGTCTTTGATAGTTTGATTGTTTGAGTTTGATTGTTGCATGTGTAAAAAGACATGTCTCTTCTATAAAACTATATCTATAAATCCACCAGAGGAAGCTCTATGACATACACAACATGCAAGTCTGACTTTGTGCAGACATAGAAAACCAGAGTTAAAGACATGGGATCATTACATGGTGCAGAAACTACTTCAAAAACACATCTCCATTAGAAGTGACTTCCTGAAGTCTGCAGAAATGGTATCAGTTACTCCATGAATTAAACTTCTAATCTAAATCTTATCTAAGTCTCTCAGAACTGACCCAAACCTTTACAGTTTTAAATGACACAAGACAACACACTTTTACCAATAACCAGGAAAGAGGCTAACTTCATTGTATGTATTTCGTATGATATTGTCTTTGACAGCAATTGTGACCCGCTCTATCGAAATCAGTCGGAAGTCGCAACGGCTCATTTCAAAATAAACGTGTATTTGCACAAAAAACTATTTTTTCGGGGTTCGGGTGTTTTGTTTGATTTTAAACAAACAAAGTCTTGGCTTTCAGAATATGAAACTTTTATCTCCAAACTCACACGATAAATACATTCTTTAAGCTTGTAAAGGGAAGAAGACAGGCAATCTGCTCTTCCGCAGCGCCGCCCCCCCTCCCTCCGGCTGACATTATGAATGTAAGCGTAGAATAATCATAAATAACACGGCAGGGTCCGTTACAGTTTGTTTTCATCTGATTTCAATTAAACAAAGTCTTGGCTTTCAGAATATTAAACTTGTTTCGGCAAATTCAGATGATAAATACAACTTTGAAGCTTGTAACGGCATAATTACAAGCGGAGAACGGAGTAACTTAACGTCACAGCAGGCATAACAACAGCCGGTGTTTCTTGTGAGGGTTTCCCCCGGGAAACAAACGCAATACACACAAACGCAAAATTACACAAACACACACACACGTATACACACACACACTCGCGAGCTTCTCCCAGACCAGCAATCCAAACGAAAACATCTTCCCTCCGTAGTATTTTGATAATTTGCTCCGCTAAAAATCAATCAGATCGATGGATTCCAGAGAAGAGAAAACTTTGAAGGCCTTTTTCTCAAAATGATGACTCGGTGACAGTCATTATATAATGTGACATATTTCGCTTAATATTTGGAGTACAACAACAATCCTGATATCATTAGAAAGCTAGGAATCTCCTCTTTCTAGCAGTGTATACAACTCAAAATGTGTCTTCGGGTCAATGCAACTGATTTCGATAGAGCAGGTCACATTTAACAAACTATGAATGTGTCATACCCACTTAACGGGTAGAAACTCAGCTATCAGACAATATTAACAATTTTTTGCTAAACAAAACACAAGGGTAATATCAATCCTCTGAATTAGCCCTAAGCTAAAAAATGCTAACGCACTTAGCACAGAACTCACGGTAGAAATATTGTATTACTTATCGGATCTGCACAAACAAGATATCATATGAAAGCTGCGATTCAACAGATTCCAGAGGTATAAGTATCATCACTGTGCGACCAAAACCGCAGCTAAGGTATATCCAGACAACACACAACGTAGCTTTACTGGGCCAAAACGGCAAAAAAGTCTTACCTTTGCGGTTTTTCTGATCAAAAGTTGTGTTCAATGGCATTAAAAACGATAAAAACGCTGCTGAAGGTTAATCCAATGTGTTTGTGTCACTTTGAAATGATTACTGATAATCTATCATAAGATTTATGACAAAAACTGAGATTTCATATCAAGCTGCTATGAGAGTTACAACCCAGCTTCCGGTTTTGGGCATTCTGGCTGCGCATCACTCTCTTCACCAATTGGTAATGTTTAGATGGATTTTAGGAACTTCCCCTCGATTTTGTTGGCTCTAGCGGTTCTAAACAGGTGTCAATCATCAAAATCGACCGATGGGTTTCAGAGATATGGAAAATCCACCCAAATGACCCCAGAAGTGTTTTTCTTTTTGCTAAACCTCTCTAAAAAGGTCAAATTCATTCAAGGGTGGTTTTCACTATAAGTAGTTTTTTTTCTTTGGACGGACACTATAATTTACATTTTTTTTACTCTGTTCAATCTGAATTTACTTTAAAATTAAAAAAATGTATATTGATTCTGACTTTTCTACATCCAACTCAAAGGTTTATCATTGAGAGACTTCATTCCAACTTTAAAATGATCACAAGACCTTCAGCTATTCAATTCTTATTCAAATTGTGGATATCTTTCACACTTTTTGAGATATTGAACTTAGTTTGGAGCTTGGTAAAGAGGCTTTCTTCAGATTTTAACATTAGTGTGTATTGAATAGCTTGTTAAGTCTAGAGTGCTTTGATCTCAAAACAGAGTGGAGGATGCTTGAAATTCTCCCAAAAAAATGTTTTAAACCTGCCATAATTCACAAACCCGACACTCCTCAGACATGATTATTCATGAAAAACGTAGGAAAACCTCTCCTAGGTTGGAAAATAAAAATAAATTAAACATTAAACAAAATGCCTCTTGAGGGCATGAAGCGACAAAAACTTTCAACATGTCTCCATTAACACCAATTGTAAATCTTTCATCACAGCACCAGCTGCACACCTTTAGTTAGTCTGCCAAAAAGGCCACATTATTGACCCAAAAGTACAAAAAAAGCACACATAGACACTCCCCACGGTCCTGAGACGCTCCACGCATTGAAATTTCACCGATATCTGCTACGGTTCTTCAACAAAACGTTCACATGTAACAGGTTTATCTCATTCATATCAATAGAAAAGCTCCCCTCTGACTGATTACTGCACATCACCATGGTAACCTTTGATCTCTGGGCTCAAGTGCAGTTGTTATGATAATACCTCATTAGCTCAAACACAAACACCTGTGTGATGATGTCATAACTCCAACTGACGAGCTCAGAACATCACCAAACCATCACACTGGGGCCCTGAATAGCTGAGTGACATCATCTAATCAGAGCAGACACAACACAACCACACACTATCTCTCTCTCACACACACACACACACACACACACACACACACACACACACACACACACACACACACACACACACACACACACACACACACACACACACACACACATGCATACAATACTACCTTAAC